TACTCGACCTTTTTCATATAGATGATCATTTTATATATTGTCTCTAAGATTAAAGCCACTCATACACCTGAGCATCATCATCTCTCGAACACTTAACTTAATATTATGCTTCTCTTTTTATGTCCAACATTCTACATCATAAAGCATTGTAGGTCTAACCACCACCATATAGAATTTAACCTTAAGTTTTTGGGGGGCTTTTATATCACACTACTAGCCCAACGGGTTCCTCTACTTCAACCATCCAACTTCAATCCTACTAATAATATCCCCATCTAATTCACCATAACTCTTAATAACATGTATTTTTATTAATGACTTGATCATCAAAAATCACAATCCCCTAACTAAAACTATTTTTTGAAAAAATTAAACTCCAATATACCTTTTCTTGAAAATGTATAGTAAGAACATTAAAACGCAAGGAGATGAGATAATACCTTGCCTTACTGGTGGTGTTCGGGGATGCTTTTGGTGATAGATGGCGAGGGTTTGGTCGAGGAAGCTCTTAGATGTGACGATGAAGTGCTCGCCAGGTGGTTGTCGGGGCATCTCATGAACTTGAGCGAATAGAGGCTGATTTTGGTGCGTTGGGACTTGAGCAAGGAGAGGGTGATAATGTGGCGTCAATGTAGCTCTTGGATGCACAACAGTCCTACGATTCGAGAGAGAAAGAAATGAGAGAAGTCATTAGATGGAGTCCAAAATAGAGCTTTAACCGGCACAATTTCTGGCGTATTATCTGTCGATTAAACAACTGGTGGATAATACGTCGGGGATGATTCATCAAGTTTAGATAAGCCGGTGCAATATGTACCGATAATTCCGCCGGTAGTTACCGGCGGAGTATGCGCTGGACAACTAAGAAATGATGGCAGAAAGCTTACAGAATATGCGCCAGTATATCTGCAGCGGATATTTTGCCAGATAATGTGCCGTTAAATTACCGATGTATATTTCATTGGTACATGTGCTGGTATTACCGTCATAAAATAGCCGTTGTAAAGTCCAATGGTAATGGCACATTTTCTTGTAGTGTGTAAGCTATGATGAACTAAACTCGATGCCTTTAGGAATCCAAATATGTGTAAGTAATTGAACTATTATGATGTATGGATAACATAAAAGAGCACACATATGCAATATTCCATAATTTATCAAATAATTACTTTTAATATCAATAGAGACACAATGACTTAACATTTAATATGTGCCTACTGACCCAACAAACTTGACTCCACTTATTGACTCCATATCAAAAACCTTGGTCTCTTTACAAGTAGGTTGTGCTAGTTTACTTACAATGCAAAGTTGTTTTGTATCTTTCAAAGCATTTTGCCACACCAGAGGTGTTCTCTTAGCCAACCTACAAACTTATGTGTGATTTGGGTTGAGTTAGTAACCAATTCTTCATGTACCATTTAAATACTACCCTTTAAGTTCATCTTGATGATAAGCTCTTCCATCTTGAGTTGGTTTTTATTATACTTCTTTATATGTTACACTATGACAATTCATAGAAAATATTAATATTTCATTTGCAGAAAATGTAGTGATATATTTAAATTCTTATGAGACTACCAAGATCCACTATAATTTTAGATAACCAAGTTAAATTGAATTCAGTAACTCAAAACCAAACTCAATCTAAAATAATTTTTCTAATGATCTAAAGTATTAAAATTATCACTACATTCTCTCTTTCCTAGACCATAATAATCATATTGAACTTATTGTATTATGAAGAAATGGTAGACCAAGTGGCGAAGATTGAGATACACCATTCTCATAATCTCTTCAAAAAAAAAAAAAAATTTTAAAAAAAAAAAAAAAAAAAAAAGCTCTATCCCAAGTGATTTGAACTCCATGAATTCAAGTCATTTGATCCCTTTAAGTTTGTAAAGTTAGATATGTTTCTTATGGATTGGAAAAATTGTATGTCTATACTATTACAAATGGCCTATGGTGGATGCACACAAATACTCTTGGAAGGGTGCCCACATCTAGGGTTTACTTTCTTGTGGATTGGAAAAATTGTATGTATATTCTATTACAAATGGCCTATGGTGGATGCACACAAATACTCTTGGAAGAGTGCCCAAGTCTAGGGTTTACTTTCTTGCATATATTAACCTAAAGGACTATTTTGTATATTGTTATTGATGTAAGAAGCATATATATATATATATATATATATATATATATATATATATATACTATTATATAATATATATTATATATATATATATATATATATATATATATATATATATATATATATAGTTTAAGGCAATGCATTTAAATGAGCTTTAGTTAATAGTTATTTAAGTTGGTTAATTGATGCCATAAATCATGAATGTTTGGTCTTAGTTATAAATATGTTGTTATATTTATTTTTATTTCTCGATATTTTAGTATGTCATTTGTATGTTACACTATGTCAATTCAAAGAAAATAATATCTCATTTGGAGAAAATGTAATGAAGTTCTTAATTCTTATGAGAGACTACGCAGATACATTACAATGTTAGATAATCATGTTAAATTGGATTTGTTAACTCAAAACCAAACTCAATCAAGAATAAATTTTCTAATGATGTAAAGTATTAAAATTATCAATACTTTCTCTCCTTTATAGGCCATGATCATTTTATTTAGCTTATTGTATTAAGAACACTACAGGAAACTGTTCGATTTTCGATGGTTTTTCCTTTGAAAATATGCTAATTTTTTGGCAAAAAATATATTTATGGCGGCTTTCAAAAAAAAAATTTATGCTAGTAAACGTTAGTAGGAAAAACTTTTACGACGAAAAAAAGACATTGAAAAATTTTTCTGCTGGAAAAATTTGCCAAAAAAAAAAAAAAAATGAGTTAAAATCTACCCTTCCAGCAACAGCGCGATGGCCCAAGCTACCCGCGTCTGCCTACTTTGCCTGCTCGATAGCCTTTGCCCGAGCTGCATGTTCGTGTGATGCAAGTGAGATTCAAACACTGCTCATCGGAAAGGTCATTAAACCTCCAACCACTTCCCTGCAAAGGAAAAAGTATTTTGGTGTTACTCTTTTATATTTAGAATAGAAATATATGAAAATTAAAAATTTAATAATTAAGTAAAATAAAATATTAAAAATTACAAATTAAGTAAAATAAAGTATTAAAATTAATAATTAATTTAATAAAAATATTAAAATTAATAAAAAAAAACTTAAATAATATTAATTTATTTCTTCAAAAATCTATCAGAATTCCTACAAAAATCCTCCAAAAAATCTTAGGAAAATTTTCGTTTATATTCCTTCGGAAATTCTCGTAGAAAGTTCCAACAGGAAAAAAGGCTATCGGAAATTCCATCAGAAATTTTCCTATGGACATTCCATCGAAAATTCTGGCCAAAATTTTCAACTGAAATCCATCATAAATTTTGTCAAAAATGCTGATGAGAAATTTCTGATGGAAATCCGTCAGAAAGTCCAACAATAAGTTGTGTTTTTCTTTTAGATGAATAGATGGTAGTCAAAGTAGGTGAAGAATAAAAGACATCGTTCTCATAATCTCCTCATTTGTTTGGCTCTATCCCAAGTGATCTAAACTCTATGAATTCAAGTCGTTTGAGCATCCTAATTCCATTAAATTAAATATGTTTCTTATGGATTGGAAAGTTTGTGTGGTCTACACTATTGCAACTTGTCTATTTTGGATACGTACAAATACTTTTGGACATGTGATTTATATGTTACTTGTTTATATATCTAGTGGTTTATTGCATTTTATATGTTACTTATTTGTGATGTGCACATTAATGTTTAACTTTGTTTCTTGTTATATGTGCAGAAGTTCATTGGGTAAAATTTTCAAAGGTTAAAATTGATAAAACTTTTATAATTTTATCGGTAGCTCAACTATTTGCTTACTAAAAATATTCTTAAAAAAATGCTTGCTAATAAATTATTAATCTATCAAAATGTTTTGCGGAGTATAAGATGACAACATATAATATTCGTTATCACTGAATCAATAAAGAGTTATGCATAATTCACAAGAACTCACAAGGTCAAGATCATTGCACATCTATTTGTACTCCAATTAGAAGAATGTATCAGTTGATCATCTATCATCGCCAAAATTTATACATTTCTAATATTTTTCATCTGATGCCTTTCAATAACTAATTTATGATGCTCATTATGATACTATTATTGGATGCCCATCTCATTGGTTGCTCGATATCCCTTTCTATTAATAAAGAAATCATGTTAATTACTTAACATTGCCTTAATTTACACATTTCTTATTGGTCATTGCTTAAAGAACCAAAAACCGACATTTGACATCTATTAGTCATCAAACTATAATTATACTCTTTGATAACCTCCTATTTTAGGATAATGGTCAAGTTGCTAGTTCGCCATCATCCTCCAATGTTCCCCATCAACCATCTCTCATCATCTATAATTGATTGATGTCTTGCATCCTCCAATCTTGAAATTTGATGCTCTCCTTTTTAGTCATTCAATCTCGAATTTAGCAGATCATTTATCATTTCTAGATGATATCTCTAACACCTCAAAGCTCCTTTTAGTACCACCAATGAAATTATTTTTAATAATTTATGTCTATTATGTTATATTAATGCCTTGCTTAACTATGGAGAAAGATGTTCTTTATAATCATTCATTTGTATACACTAGCATAATTATTTTAATTTAGCTAGACTCTTTGACTATTCACTTCCTGAATATTTCAAGCAAAAAATCTCAAGTCAATAGCCTCAATCAAGTTCAATATATATCTTTGTGGTTTAAGCCATCTTTCACCCATTCACATAATTTGAAACCTCATATTGGTCCTTAACTTTTGTATGAATCACAATATATTATTTTGAGAAAAGTAAAGATTATAATATTTTTATAGTTATCACATATTAATAGATCTGGTTGCAAAAAAAAAAATTTAATATAAAAAAAAAATAATAATGGCCAAATATAGAGATGATAGCAATAAAATAATCAAAATAGTGGAAAAATAGCACCAAACAAGCTTTTAGTATTTTACATCTTCAGTACAAATACAGTTCTTTAGAGATAATATAAAGGACTCGGTAGAAGTTTATCAGATCAATCTGAGCTAACATAGTTTAGTAAACATAAACTACTTCAGCTTACAGCTTCTCTAGTCTCCTCCCTGGGAGCATTATTAACAATACGACAGTTCCTCCTGATCTCACCAGGTTGATCAATTTGTAAATCTCCCAACTTCACCATCCCTTCAACAAAATCAGCAAAGAAAGCTTTCTGATCAACACTATATCTTTTCACCACAGCCATTGTCCTTGCATCATCAGAAAAGAGTGTCTGATCTGAATTTAGGAAACCTCTCTGCCTTCTCAAGTCTTTGAAATACCGATTATCAAACTTAGCTGGAGTGGCATCTAATCTGCCAGTGATGTTGCCATCTCCACTTACCGGGCAAAGGCGATTGAGCTTGAACCGGAATCTAGGATCCATGTGTGGGTCAGGTCGGCCTGTGCCAGATTGATTGTAAAGCCTGAATACAATAGAGAAGCATCTTCCCATGCCGATGGAGTGAGAACCAGATAGGGCGACAAGGTCGGTGATCGATAGATTGAATTTGTGGAAGAGATTGATGAGGAAGGTAGCATTGGATCTAGGACTTGGCATTATGTTGTCTGAGGCTTCTTGGCTAGCACTTAAACTGTCTTTCCTACCAAGTTTCACTTCCCAATTGGGACCTCCACTCTGTTGAAAAGAGAAAGAGACTTAATTCTCTGTTCTTATTTGAATTATATTGATGTTACAGATTGTATAAAAGTTCTAAAAAAGAAATGAACCCAACCAATCATTGTCCAAATGAATAAAAAATGAGAAGTTTAGAATAATTAATAGTTCTCAATTGTTAGATTTACTTTTAAAACGAGTGAAAAATAAATTTTATTTGATTATCCATATTTTGCACTCATCTCAAAATAAATCTAACAATTCATGGTGTAAATGAGCTTAATCGCTTGAGAAAACCCCAATTTGAGCATAAATTTGACTAATTAATCAAGTTTGAGTTCAAGCACGAGCTTAGTTTTATTAGTTTAGATTGACTCATGAGTTGGGTCACTTGTTATAAAATAGATAAGACAATTACGCTTTTAACATTTGGTAGTAAAATGACAAGTAAATTAAAGAATTAAAAGAGAAATAATAAGAAATAAGAATTAAAAGAGAAATAATAAGAAATAAGTAATAACGAAGAGAGATAGAATTGTAAGAACTTTGTATTTAAACCATTGAATCATAATATTCATATGTGTTTTAAATTAAAAAATTTTTATGAGCCACCCTATATGTTAATGTGTTGGAAGTGGGGCTAGCTTAAGCTTAACTCATTTGTTAAAGCTCAACTCATGAACAATTTATCGAGTTGAGCTTGGTCTGATTCATATCTCAATCAGACCTCTAGATCTATCATAACCCAATTTGTTTTTTACTTAGAGGTTATTTGACTACTAAAAAATGAATGCTATGAAAAATAAATACAATGTAAAAAAGAATACATTGGAGTTGTTTGGATGAGTGAATAGTAAATCCAAACGAATAATTTTTTTAGTTAGTTTTTAAGTAAAATGAATGTAATATAAATTTTAAAGATGGTGGTGACCGATGGGTGATAGTGATGGTGGTCGGAGCCCGGTAACGACAAAAAATGGTGGGGGCTAGTGGTGGGTGGCAACCGACTATGGCGGTGATGGTGGTGGTGGCGACCAGCAATGGTGGATACCGGTGTCTGGTGATGGCAGGCATCAACGATGGTGGTCGCTAGTGGGTTGCGGTGGCTGGCAGTAGTGGCGGGAGGCAGGTGGAGTTGGCCAACAGTGGTGGCCAACAAATTTTGGTGGTAGTCAAGCAATTGCTTATGGTGAAATCATTCTTCCTCAAAACTGTGTGAGTTTGGTTTACCTAAAAAATAAAGTAGAATAATTTACATTACATTTCTTTTTAATCTAACCAACACCAAAATTTTCAAAACCTCTGTATTTGAAATACTTTACACCCTTATGCATTCCAACCAAACAGCCCTAATAATTATTATTTTCGGCTATGAAATGTGTAACATGTGTACTAAAAAATTCCCGGTGGTAGAAGGAAAGTGTTAGCGCGTAGGATTTGTATGTTATCTAGGACACACACACACAAAGATAAAAGAAGAGTTGCAAAAGATACCAACATTTTTACCCGAAAACCTAAAAAGAGAAAAATTATATGGTCTAACCCAATTAAAATGATTCAATTAGTATTTGAGAGATATGAGAGGAGAGAGAAAAGAGAAGTCCATATTTGAAAGCCGCAGTGTAATTTTTGTCTATCGAGCCTGTTGGGATAATTGGTCATCTCGCTGTAAAGAATCTTTACCCTATTTTTGATTTCAAAGATTTTGTATTTTTGATATTTTTTGATCTAATTTGTATTTCTGTCACCGAAAAATATGAATAATTTTGTATTGATAAACTTTCACCGAGAAACTTTTTATATGTTATAGAGGTCATAATTACGAGTATTTTGAGTATTTATTTAAGATTTTTTATTAGATGATTTTGAAAATACTATAATTTTTGTTTGTCCTGAAATTTATCTTGACATCTAAAAATAATATTGTAGTATAATAAAAGTCTTAAAATATCATTTTACATAATTCATGATATTTTGGTAATTTTTTAAATAATAAACATTTTGTCTATTAAGATTTTTTGTTGTCTACCATTATGATATTTTGGCATCTTCTTATTTGAGCTCAATTATATATTATTTATTGTAATGAATTAAAAATGGATGTGAATATGTACTTGAGTAATAGCTGATCGCTATTATTGTTATAGTATTTTAATAATAATATGTGTGTGTGAAACAAACAAATAAAGACTGGTTGACCCATTAGTTGGAGATTGATTGACTTGTACATGATGTTGGGCCGATGAAATTTCCTTTAAATATTATGGTTTGGTGTTATCCTTAACTAATTAATTTAGTGATAAACTGATTGGGAGTTATAAGGAGATCATTATAGTGCTGACGGGTAAAGAGTGACGACTCTATTTACTAAGTTAAGAGTTTACTAATATTGATAGTAACACTAAAAAATATCGTGATAGTCAGGACTTCTTAATTATTTAGTGTGACTAATAAAATGCATATTTTTGAGATATTTTTCCTATCATTATATGAATTTATTATTACTAGACGAATTTACTATTATTGTATTATTCTACTACTACTACCACTGGATTAGTATTATTACTAATTTAGATATTGATAATATTTTATACTGCTAATTCACTATATGGATCTTAAGCATGTGATATACTGAGCATATGATATAGAATACCTAGATAGCATGTATACATTTTTATATGATTTTATTACATTGATTTAATTTCAAAAATCTTTACCAATATTTTAATTTGATATTTTATATAATTCCTTTAATGATTGGTATTAGTGATCTGAAAATTATTTTATAGATTTGACACTTATACTGGTTTACTGCTTTATTGGTTTTCATGAAGTAGTATTTTACTTTTTATAGATTCTACTACTAATATATATAAATTTTACTATTTCTACATTGATTCAATGATAATATGAATGCAACTATTATGATTTCACTGTTGACAAGCATTATGATTCTTTACTGTGCTTTGAATTCAATTATAGGTTTTGGTGATCTATTCGGCTTTTTAAGCTCATTATATGTGATTAAATGATTTCAAGTTAGGGGCAGGGGAGCATGAAAGTGAGATTAGCCAGGATTCTTCAGGTTTTATTTTTTTTTTGTTATAGTCCTGAGTAGTGTATATGATTTTTAAGAATGAATATAGATTTGTATATTAATATTTTAAATTATAAAATCTATTTTGTTGATTATTACTGATAGATGATATTAGATAGCTCTAGTTGTTATTTATTTAAAAGAAAATTGAATAATTCTTTCAAATTAGATTATGAGGCATCATAGGCAATGCGTGTGTTGATGTTGGTGCTAATGATAGATGATAAAGTCGATGGACACATTAGTTTTATTGTTAATAATGTGTATCAAATTTATATCTGATGGCATATATTTATTTTGATGGCAAAGATGGGTGCTAAAATTTGTGTGATAGTGTGTATCAATATTATAAGTGAAGAATGCATTAATGTTAGGGGAAATGATGGGTGATAAAGTTGGTTGGTGTCAATATTGGTGTTGACATCATGCATGAGCCTTATAGGTGATGGTGTGTTAGCATTAGTGGTAATTGTAGGCAAAAAAGTTAGAGATGATTAGATAGTGATGATCAAGTTATCAGGAGGTTGTGGCCCAACATCGATGGTCGAGTTTTAACTGTTTAACAATAATGCTTGGGTGATAGTCCGATGATTATAATCAAGTGGTGATGGCCTAACGATAATGGTTGAGTGGTGATGGATCGATGATGATGATTGGGTGGTACTGCATCAAATAGTAGTAAAAAAAGATCTAATTATGATGGTCAAGCAAAGATGACACGATGGCTGTTATCCCAATAGTGATTGGGTGATAATCAAAGGTGGTGGTTCGACATCGTTAGTCATATGGTAACAACTAGATAATGATAGTTATGTGTGATATTTTAATGGTGATGAGCATGTAGTGATCATCCAAGTATGGTAGTTTAGCAATAGCAACCAATATTGGTGATGGAGCACTAATGGTCTGAGAATAAAGGTTGAGAGACATCATTCCAATGACAGCAGATAGGCTTTGACGATTTAATGATAATTGCTGAGTGGCAGTGGTGTAATAGTGGAATTCGAGTAGCAATTATCCAATTGTGCATGTAAAGGGGAGGCAACCCATTAACGAAGGTTAGGTGATGAAAATTTGATGGTCTAATGATAGTCATCATTGGGCGCCGGACAGCATCTATCTGCTGAGGGTGTTTGGTTGGTAATGGTCAAATGATTGCAATTGGACAAAAGTAGTCTAATGTTGATGATCAGGTGATAGTGGGTATATTCTGGTTTTTGGGTAATCGTGATCTAATTGCGATTTTGTAGTAGGGGTTGGATGAAGGTGGTTTGACGACAATAGTTCAACAATGCTAGGTGGTCCAATGATGATGATCAAGTAGCAATAGTTTGATAGGGGTGGTCAATTGATGGTCAAGTGGCAGCAGTCGGATGATAATGATTCTCTCTTGGTGGTGTTTAGATGACGATGTTCAAATGATGATGGTCCAATAATCATAGTCCAATGATAGAGTTTGATGACAGTGGTTAGGCAATGATAGTTTGACAATATGATATGTTCAAGCTCTTCCCTTCTCCCCAATCCACGTTTCCATCATATTGAGAGTTGGTGTCTAGTTATAATTTAAAAGAATGCCACTATTTATGAATATAGCAAAAATGCAAAATACTTTATCAGTCGACTTATTTTTTAATGTTTGAGTGCCTTCATGATGTACAAGTTAAACAGTTTTGGAGTCATTGGATTTGACTTAATTAAGGTGTTTGATTTAACAATAAGAATGCAAAATTTAAAGATCATTACAGCCTCAAAGTAATATTATAATATCTTAAATTATTTTTCTTGTTCTTGATTTGGTCTCACTTAGACTCGAATCAAATAAGTTTTGGTGTCGACATATTTGTCTTATTGAGAAGCTCAATTTGACAACAAATTTTCTTAAATTGGTGCTAGGATGGTCATGAATTTAATTTCAGAAACTTTTGTCCGATATTGATCAAAATTAATGATTGATCAAGTGGATCTTCGGACGATGCATCACATTTAAAAACGTGTTATTCATTCATTTATGTGAGATATCTTTTTAAGTTGATTGATCACGTGGATCTTTCGACCATGCATCACATTTAACACATGCTATTCATCCATTGATGGGAGACATCTTTTTATGTTGTGATTTGAGCTGTCTTTAGCATGAAAGAAATTAATGGAGAGGGAGGTCAGAGTGATAAAATATTTGAAACTAAAATACGGCCGAATATAATTTTTTAAATTAAAAATTTTTATACTAAGATATGCTTTAGAAAACTATAAAAAAATTAGTACAAATGATACCTAGGACCGTTGTTGCGAAAGAATTTTGGATCAGGAACAAATTTTAATTACGATCATTTCAAAATTATGAAATTTATTTTTGAGTCAATATAATAAAAAAATATTAATTAAACTTTCTATTTCATTCATTTTTAAATAAATTTAATAATTTTAAATTTTATACTATAAAAAAATTTAAATAAAAATATATTGAACAGCTTTTTTACTACTTCTTAAAATAATCTTGTAGTACAAAAAAAAAATTATTATAAAATTATTTTAAAAAATAGTAAATAAATGTTCCTAAATGAAGCCCAATTTTTCCCCGAAGTTCTGCTCAGAGAGCTTAATCTGCCAAACTTATATCCAAGAACCAAATACAAAGAAATCAAGCAGTGTTGTTTTGAAATAAAAAAAAAAAAGCGAGTTTCAAAATTACTAAATATATTTTAAGATGAGTGCAATATATAAAAAATTAATTAAATTTTTATTATATTAAATTTAAATTAAATTTAATAATTCTGAAATTCAATTGAACATAATCTTATGAGCCAAATTTTTTTCTAATTTCTTAAAATATTTTCAACCAAAAGAACATTTGATATAGAAGATAATTATCAATCTGAGCAGCATATTCGCCAAGAAATTTTATTTTTTAAATTGATTTATTGATGAATGAGAGGATAATCGATTTCACTCACCAGCACCACAGCATCCCTTGCCGCCATGATGATAATATCCGCACAAGAAACAACCCCTGGACAGGCCTTCTCCAACGCCTCCTTCACCTCATCGATCACCTCGAACGATCTCAACGAATTGATATTCGATAGCGCGAGCTTCTCCCCGATCATTGTCGGCGTATCATCAAGCAATAGAGATCCATCGCATCCCTATTTTCATTCAATAAATCAGCAGAAAAATCATAGTTTGAAGAAGAAGAGAAATTAACCAGCGAAACAGAGAAACATACATTGACAAAGCAGTCATGGAACTGAAGCCTCATCACCGAAGCCCCGCTTCGGGCTTCTCTGGTCATTGCGCGTCGCATCGTCTCACGAACGATTTGCTCCGCCTCCGGGCAGACGCCGGCATAGAAGCCTCGTCTGAGCGGCGTTATCTCGCCGGTGGTGAGGGTTCCCCGCCGGAGAAGGAAGAGGAAGAGGTAGAGGATGAGAGAAGTTGCTGTGAAGGAAGCAGGCCTCATGGTTCTTCTTCTGTCTGAGAGCACTGAAGCCCCAATGCTTTGCTGAGTAATTATATTTCGGTGGGTAGAAGCTACGCTCTGATTTTTATTCACCTTTTCAAATGCCTTTTTGTCTTTTATTTCTGCCCACATACCATAAAGGGGCTGTTTGTTACACAGAATTAGTAGGGTAAACTAAAATAATTACACGTATTTACTAAATTCGGTTATTTGGTTAATTTTGAGCGGAACAAAAGAAAACCCTCCGAAGCATTAGGCGTGTATTACAACGCATGTTTCGAGCGAAATAGAAACCCCCTCATATTGAGCTGGTTATAAAAGCGCTCAATGAAATCCTTAGCATCGTCGTTGCTGTTCATCTTCATTGCTTCGCAGGAGGTGTAAGATTGCCTAGTGGCTTCTTCGGCTCCTTCGGTCTTCTTCAACCTCTCGCAAAATACCGCGAACCAGCCTCGCACGAGAGAGGAGAAAACTCATAAAAGAGCAATACCTTCCTTTCCAGATCGTCAATTTACCCTCACAGATCTTCAATTTAACTGAGATAGGGCTTTCCTCTTCGGCTTCGCTAGTTCGCGTGGGGCAAAGCTTCCAACGAGTCGATTGACATTGCTTGTCGATTTGCTTTTCCTCTTCTTGATAAACAACTAATTCTTTCATTTGTTTTCAATTTGATTCAGTCGTCATCTTCTTCTTCGTCTTCTTTGATGGTTTTTTTACGGATTTGGTTGCTTAAGGATTTTCAGTTGGCTAAATTAGCTGAGATTTATGTAGAGAATTGGATTTTTGTTTCTAGGGTTTCTTTGGAAATTGGAACTGTGTGCGGTTTGACTTGATATCGCTATTTGTTCTAATTGTGCTTGCGGAAGAGAGATTATCTTTCTGTCTTTGCTTGAATTATATTGTCTTCTTGTCTATTGTTTCTTATGTTTTCCCGTACTGTGGAGATTATTTGTTGGATTAGTTTTTGATGATCTTACAAATTTAACAAGTTGTTTTCTGAGAGGATTGTTCATTGCACGATATTCTTTGAATTATTGCATGATAGTCTTCTTTGAAATTGATTGATGCAGTTTTGTTGCTTTGCTATAAGACAGTATGGGCTTACTTACCTCTCATGTTTGTTTACCTTTATTCCCACTTTTAGTTAATCGCATTTCTTTTTCAGGCAACAAAACAGCCCCAAAAGGAAATAATAAAATCAACAAAAACATAAGTAGGGCTGACTAGAACTAAAAATATGACTCGAATACGATAAAAAAAATTCGGATTATGGACAATCCGTTTTTCAAACGAATCAGAATTGGGTTCAAAAAATAAACCCTTTTCTAAAGTCGGGTCAGATTCGAGTTAACCTGAAAACCCGATAATGACCCGGATAGAAATTCCATCTGATGATTCAGTTCCCGCCTGCATTCGTAACTTGCGAGTCAAAATGGTTGCTAACTCGCGAACTCCGCCTCTCCTACCATCCCACAGCCCCGTCGAAAGCGTTCCCGCGGCCCAGCCATCTCATTGACAACGATAACATTCCTTCCTAAACCTAGGCTAAACCCTAGGCCACCAGCGACTCGCAGCAAACCTTTCTAGGCTAAACCCTAGGCCATCCATCCCGCCAACGACATTCCCTCCCAACGACGATGTTCCTTCTTGTGAGTCCTGTCTAGTATGGAGGCTTCGACGAGAGCAATGAGACAAGTAGACGACGACGTTCTTCCTCCCATTCGCGCTTCTTCGGTGTAAACCGTTTTGTGTGGGTTAGATCAACCCAGAAATCCGACGGGTCAGATCCGGGTTGAATTTTATGACCCATTTGCAAAAATGTGTTGGTTCGGGTCTTGTCAAAATATAGGATCAGTTCCGAGTTCGACCCGAACCCGATTTCGACACCTTCAACATCAAGCTTTTACTCAACAATATGAATATTTTTTCTCCCTTATATTTTATTAAAACTCAAACTTTATTTAAATCAAATAAAAAAACCAATTCTAATTGTTTCTAACCAAACTTTTTTGGTTTCCATTAAACTTTCTTAACGTAGGCCATATCTAATTCATCTACTCTTCTAATCGAGTCGCCAACATTTTATGTTATCAAACCATCTAAGACGACTCTCTAATTTTATTTGCGATTACGACTATTTCAAATCTTTTCTCGTGTATAATCGTTTTGTATTCTGTATGTAAGAGTAAAATTACTCATTTATTTGAGCATTCTCATTTATGCAACAATTAATTTAATTTTTTTATTTTAAAAGGAAATAATAAAATCATTATGTATTGATAATTTTTTCTTAAACTTTTTGAATATGTATCAACATAAAATGTCGTGAATTAAACCTCAAAAGTGCGCACTCCGTTGAACGGAGACCTGGTCATATGGCAGTGGTACTTGTGGAGGATATGGCTGTTCCGGCGGAACACCTTATGATAATGTTCGGGTTCATAGACTGGATGCCAAATGCATGCGCAAAAATATTTGAGAAAACAAAAAACTTTTAACATGTAGCTGAGGGTCGTAGGATTCGCATTAAGAGTTGCACATCAAACATAGCTAAATAATCAATTATTACTTTCACGAATCTTAACAAAATTTTAAAGGCTGTAACTGAGGTAAACTGAAAATTTCTTATACTCAAGTTGCATGGGCAAAATCTCACATTGATGATAGAGGCGTGATCCCAAAGTAAGAGAATTATTGACAACTGACCAATTAGCAAAGCTTGTTTTGGCAATTTGCTAAATTGGATTGGTTCCCTTTAGAGAAGGAACAATTATTAGGTCCTCTGAGCTACGTCCGGTCGGAACTAAAATCGCGTCAAAAAATGAGAAATACCGAGCAATACCAAATAATAACAAGGAATACCATCATATGAAGCTCCAATACCGAGTTGTACCGAGCTATACCAAGCAATACCGAGTTATACAAAAAAATAAACTCGGTATTTTTTTGTATAACTCGGTATTGCTCGGTATAGCTCGGTATAACTCGGTATTGTTATTCACAGAATGGTATTCCTCGTTATTACCAAATAATACCTAGCAATACCGAGCTAATATCGAGTTTTTTGGCGAGATTTTAGTGCCGACCGGACGTTCATCTACGTCCGGTCAGAGGACCTAATAATTGTTCCTAGAGAAGGCATCAACCATTGTAGCCTTGTAAAAGATATGGGCCAAACTGAATGATAATACGGCGTAACTAAACTTTCGACGAGGCTACCAGCCAGCAACCAGTTCCACAGGTGCATAACCCGCAATTATTTTCTTCCTACTTATTGGGTCACGGCGCATGAGAAGGGATTCAAACATTAGTTGCGTGGTTACCAACCATGCTCGCCCACCAATCCAGTTAAGCCCAGTGGAGTGATTATGCATAATTTGCAATATATTGTTTTTTAGGGTTTTAATTTTTCATAATTAACTTAAGAATTTCATTGTTTAAATAATTGATAAGATATTTTAGTTTCATTTGTCACAACTTACTTACTACTTTTTAAAACAACATTTTAGTACAAAAAATTTCAATTTAAGATAATTTTGTGTTAAAAAATTATTTTAAAAAATTGTAAGAAAGCAGTCCCAAACAAAGCCTATGAGAGAAGCTCTAGAATTTCATTTCATCGTCAAAAATAGAAAAATTGAGCAAGTGACATAATTCTTGGGCCCATCCTTCAACTTTTTATTTATAAGCTTTGATTGAGTTTCAAGTTTCAACAAAACAAGAAATGCTATAACTTTAGCCGACTTGACTTGAACCCATTCTGCTTAGATGAGCTAACTTGTCTTGAGCTTGATTTGTTTGAGACAAGTCTAATTCAATCCTGATGAATTTGTGTGTACTTATTATCTAAAATATTTTATAAAAATATTATGGTATAATAATTTATATTTAATAATAAAATAAGATAAATATCAATTACACAAAATTCTACATTTATGCATAACTCTGATAATGGTATATACATATATACTTAACTGAAATATGACTTTGTTTGGGGAGACTCTCAATGCAAAGCAAATTTTTAGAACAAAATTTTTTAATTCATAAATTTTTTGACTAAAAATTTACATTAAAAAATAATTAAAAAACATCTCAAATGAAGCTTAGGCTTCGGTTGGGACAACTTTTTTATTGCTTTCTAAAATTTTTTTCTAGAATAAAAAATTCTAATTCAAAAAATTTTTATACTCAAAAATTATTTTAGAAAATAACAAATAAATTGTCTTAAACGAAGCCTTAATCTCAAATTTTATCAATTAAATCAACGGACGGAACCATTTTGCATAAATCACCGCTCTAAGAGTGGGGATAAGAATGACAAAGCTATCTGATAGACTGCTAGTGGTAAGTCAAAAGTATCATTCGGCTATTTGATAATGAGTCGACTTATTTGTACAACTATTACAATGCTATGAATTGATTATACTACAATGCTAACATAAATAATTATGTTTATCTCAATTAATTAGTAAATATTATCAGAAAATGATATGATTATCAAAATAAATAAACTTAGTGCATCTGTTTAATGACCTGTTATGTGCCATGGGTAATGTTTACTCATCTATTGAACTTTCTCATCCATTTTTTTAGAAAGTAATATTATGGTTAGGAATTATATATATTTTCATTAGTCAACCTAACTATCATAGGATCCCATTGATTAGGTCATTTCATAGTATATTTTTCCTTTTCTATGCATGTGTAGTAGTATTGCAACGTGATTACCCAAAACTTCTAGCACGTAAATAACGTCGTTATGTAGTATTGTGATCAATCCTATAATGCTTTTAATTTAATTTTTAACCAACTGCAACAAACAACTACATATGGATCTTATGAATGAATAATGAATAATGTTTTATAAATTAGCCATGATACCTGTGTTAGTTCTTCTGATAATAATTGATCACATTGGTTATATTGAGTTTAATATAAAACTATAACGACCTTTTTTTAGTGAAAGTGATGGATTCGATGGGATGCTGCAAGGAAGAGCAACTATTAAACCCTCCTTTGTCATGCACATAATTCAATACTATATTATATCTTAATCAATTATGATGTGATTATAAATACAAGATTATATTCATTTAATTATCAATAGGTGACCAAATCGATTTTGGATCCTTTCATAGGCCCCATTATGGTTTTGCTCATCCTT